ACGAAGAATTTCGAACCTAGTGAAGTAGAGCTGCATCTGGTGGACCGACTTTGTGAGTTGGCGCATGCCGACGAAATCTCTGTAATGTGTGATTAAACGCAGACCACTCAAAATATACTGCATTACTTAGTGTTGTCTACCCCTAAGTTCGGAATGACATACGCCCCACTGAAGTGTAATTTCTTATGGCAGGGCTTGCCAGGAAACGGTCCTACTCTCATCTTTCCGTGTGATAATTTAGACGTGCTGGCTGCTGTGTACCCAACTTACCCGTTTCTCTTGAGTTGAGTACACAACAGCAGAGCAGTTCGCATAACTTGGAAACTATTTTAGCACTGATGGTATAACGAACGGGGTCTCCTTGTGAGTCATTAAGCGCAGCCTGCTTTTGATACTCTTTATCATTTCTAGTGCCGTCGAAAAATTGGATTTCGTTTGCAGTTCGAACCTGCAATTCTAATGCGATTCGCACACGACACACATAACAGATGTTCAGAGGCTGCCTGTTTTCTACCACAGGCGTCTTTATAGTATTGTTAGTGAACGATTATTTTAACACATTAGCGATGGGGAGGTTCGTCAGCGGAGTTTCAGATCAGATAGGTGCTGCAGACCACGGATGCATGGCATAGGCATGCTGTTTGTGTACCAGCTTATCGGTTACTAATCATGTCCTTTTTCTGCGCGCAGTAGTCGGCTGAAAACGTAAGCGGGACAGTTCGCCTTCTGTTTCTCGACTATACAGATGCTTTCGGCAGAGTTGGCAGCTCAATGCTGCTCAATTAGCTGTCTGTAAATGGAGTTCCACTAAGTGTTTGCAGCATGGTTAAAAACCACTGTACAAACCGCACGCAATTCACCCAGAGTGATGGAGTAAAGTCTTATGTGTTCCTCACTAGTCGTGGTATTTTGCAGAGAGTCATCCTCTCATTCGCTCTAGTTTCCTTATACATTGAAAGCTCCCCATACCGCCCATATGTATTGAATTCAAATATCCTGGGGATGTCGTATTTAGATGTGTAACTCCAACCGATGTGACATCTACTTTACAACATGGTCTAGATGAGCTCATGTTTTGGTTCTCGTCCCGATCCCTGATATTGAACGCTTCTAAATGTTGTGAAGTAACACTTCCGTTTCTCCGAGCCGACAACCTACAAGTTGTTTTGGATGCCACTTCTCTATTGGCATCGAATCATCAGTTCATACCCAGATAGTCAAATGTTGAATTTCTAGGGGTGTTCTTATACCGAAACTTATCATGGTCTATTCGCGTTGCCGAAACGTTTCCCAAGCTTAGACGGTTGTCATTTTACGCCCTTCGACTTAAAGAAATTTCACTGCCCCGTGCTTTGATTCTTAGATTTGTGACTGCATGTATGCTGCCACATTGGCTCTACTGTTCCCCTGTAATCTTCCTTGGGTTACACAAAATGGACTGTACATTGATTTTACGGTCCTTAAAGATGGTTTCCCGAAGCAGCGGTTAGTTTAGAGACTCGCCTACGGATTTTCTTGTCAACAAGCAACTAGACGCTTGCAACGGCTTTTTCTCCAGAATTCTAAAGGACCATCTTCAGCCACTAAAATGCGACTTATCAAAAACATTATCTATTTAGTCTACCCGCTTCGAAGTTAAGATTTTATTTTCACATATTGCATCTTACCGCAATTCTGTGCTATGGTACCTGTCCCGCATGCTTGTTGATTCTACTAAAACCATCAGTAGGATGAAAAATTATTTGCTCGAGTGAGATGTGTAGACGTTTTTACATGCTTTATTTTTTCTGTAACAGTAATTTCAAATACATCACCATCCGCAGTAATAGTGTACCATGCTGAATATGTATCTACCCGGGTACATTAAGCTTATTTTGACTTAACTTGACTTGACAATGTGTGAGTTTAGCTCGCGTTTTGCAAGTGTTAGCCTCAAATCTGGCCGTGGATAAGCGTCCTCGAATTCCGGATCAGAATTGAAAGAATCTTGAATACACTCATCTGGATAGGTTTTTGGATATTGCGAGAAGTTGCACTAAGCGATGAACATGCTGCGAGACTCAGTATTTAGACTCAAGCTTTAAAGACTTCGCTTCTGTTTCTTTTGTTATTTTGTATTTATTAATGCGCCATTACACACTACCGATATATATATATATATATATATATATATATATATATATATATATATTCCGAATGATTGTGGGACATCTCCAACACAATCGTTGTTCCAATCAGGTGCATGCCACAGGTCTATTTCCCCAGTTTAGCGTAGCATCTAACCATGAAAGTAAAGGCGTGAGCAGTGCTGCGCAAATCATACGCACTGCCCATGTAGGTGCAGGTGTCCTGCGGAGGTACTTGCAAAATAATACAGTTGAATTCGGTAACGGGTGTATGTTGCGGTAAAACACAAGTCGAAGGCGGCGGCGAAATCGTGTCACGCGTTGCAAGTAATGGGTTGGACAGGTCTAGTTTTTGTCAGAAATTTAAAAATACGGTCAACAGTTTGGTACCGATGAAACCACTTCTTTGCTTTCACTTAGTTGCTAGCTTCTTCTATCTGTGAACAATAAGGTTTTTAATGCGTGTATAAGCGTATCAAGTTGAAAATTATTCAAACCTCGCAGCTCACGTTGTTGGTACTTATCCTCATGTGTTGCGCGTTCACGAATTATCAGTGTTACTCAATCTATGAAGCGATGCTGAGTACATAAATTGCGGCTGAGAACATAGAGGGGTGCGCAACTCACTGTTTTTACTCACAATACATACCTTTGTCACAAAACCCGCAAACAAGTTACCGTCGGTGGTTCATACGTAACGCAAAAAGTACAAGGCTAGTTAATGGTATTAGCGACCAAATTGACGTTAAGCATTTAGTAGATAACCGATATGAAGCCAGAGGAAACTATCGCCAAAATCTTGTCCACTTATAGCCTTGTGGACCGGGAAGTCAAGCGCTTTGTTAGCTAGAAGCGCCCCTTGCCATTATGCAGTCGGACAGAGAGTGGTGCCTTGCAATTCAGACCACTATTCACCCCTATTGTTTTTGGATTTGCGCGTTACAAGCGCTTCGCTTGTTTTCTCGTTCGTGTTACTATTTTACTGTTCCCATTTTCCTTGTGTTTTCTTAGCATACCATCATTTTTACAGCTTCATTTTATTGCTTGTCAACTCGATCCACGAATCCACAATATTTTGCTAATCGTTGGTTGGAGTTAATTGAAACACTGGAGAGAATAGCTAAACAAGAAATTCTAATTCGCGACACATTTAAGTGCATGTTGGTAAGGGAGTAGTATAGTTCTTCGAGAATGGTAGAAAACGGTGGATACTTAGGGTACTCCAGACAATATAGAACTGAAAATTCTTAGATCAATAAGCTTAACTACAGTCAACGCAACGATTCCAGTAGAGTGTGATGGAAACAATGGTCCAGGAGTTTGTGTAGTACTTTTGGGAAGGCCAGAATTGCCATCATTTTGATATTCCTAGTCAACCACTACTAGAATGCGGGAGATGTTTCTGAACAGCTTTGCAAACCTAATGCATTCGAAATTCCTACCTGTAGAGAGTGTTTCTTGGACCCCAGGTGTTTGAACTGCTAACAATAAAGGTATGAATGATACCCATGACAAATAGATCCGGTCAGAGGACCACCAAGAATGACGGAAAACCACAGGCCACATGTCAAGTCACACACGGTGGAGTTCCGTAAGGGAAAAAAATAAAAAATAGCGAGTATCTAAACGAAAACAGTTCTCTGACCGAGTCCAGCTATGGCCTAGGCCGGTTAAAGCTCCCTCTATTAGTTGGGAGTTTTGGAGCACTCATTCTCAACATTGTACTCCCTCTTAGCTTTCCATATAGCCTCAGTTGGCTGACAAAAGGCTACAAGAGCTTCCATTTTCTGGCAAAATTCGTTGTTTTTGTGCATATGTGACTTACATTTGGTTGCGTTTTGCATTGTCTCCGAACTACTACCAGTTTTCCCTTGCTTCAATTTATATTAAAGTATTCAAAAAGTAAACTAATTATTTATTCAGGAGCATTAATACAACGCGGTCCAACGTCGTTCTAAGAGTTCTGTTCCTTTGTTAGTACTGCTTTTCCTTCTTGCTTTCCGAAGCAAGTTTATATGTGCAGGTAACGAAGATGGACATCTTGGTGGCCGCAGATCTCACCATAACAACACTGAGATTCAGTACCAGTAAGTTCGTGGACATATCGATAGTGTGAAGCTAACAAGGACAAACGCTTGTACACGATTCTTCCTTCCTGTGGATGCTATCATTTGGTAATAATAATGGAGTTTTCGAACTGCCACTTCAAGCACCCGCGAGATACCTTGGTCCTATTTAGTTCCTTTTCTTGTGTTCACATTTACCGTCGCTAACCGCGCTGTAGTCAAACTGCTGCTTGTCTGACTTTTCGGCGTGCCAGCTTGGATAAGGATTCATCTTGTGTTTAGTTGGTCTCTCTGATAACAATTGTTGTTCGCATTGTAGGGAACTATCAATCAGTTAGCTAAGGATAAAACTTTCACCCTGCAAAGGCAGAACACAGTTTGTTACTACGATAAGTCGTTTATGCACTTTTGACTCCAACAGTGAGAGCCATCGATCTGAAAATTGGGCGAAACTAATTCCAAATGCGCTGGGACGGTCGCGGACTTTAGGTCTAAACCGGTAGGAACGAGTGCGACGGAAATATTCGTGCCTGACTGCTTACTTTTATTAGGCGTCAGGAACAGCTACGCTAGTACAACGGACGGTAGCAATCACTGTGAGAAGTGATATGAAGGCAAGAAAAACCGGGTTACTCGCCAGTTTGAACAAATACTTCCGATGCCAAATGTACTGTTCCTGAGTTACAGCTCTTCATGTTACGAAGTAGAACGCTTCTGTTAACTAATGATCGAACAAAACCACCACAAACCTCTACAAAATATGATCATTATTTTCGTCGGTTAAATTCATGATCACAAAATAACTCACGAGCGCCCAGTCTGAGCCAATGTATGGTCCAATTCTCACAATGACCAACAGCCCATTCTGTTCAGCGTTGGTAATAAATGATTCAACATCTGCCATGCCATCGAAAGTGTACTGCTTCTCTTCGCGTTCATGGAAGTTCCATGGTATGTCTCTGAATAGATGGGCAAAAGTATATAAATTTTGACGGATCTGAAAACGGATTTAGTGGTCTTCAATATGTTTCCGAGAGTACGATGTAAACAAACCATGATGCTGTTGGCATAGACCCATCCCCTGGTGAGAAGTGAAAGCCATTTCGCAGATAACTTATTAGCAAGTTTCGTTATGCAACCACTGTCTTGTCCCAGCCCGGTACCTTTGATTGTCACAGAATGACATATTAAGAATGAATCTTTTAATCTGGTCCGTAGACCAGTGCGCTAAATTGGTGGACAGTCTTTACAAATCTGCAGTGATGGACCGGCACACATCGTCGCGTAACCTTATGTGGACACAGAACACCTCACAACAGTCGTAAGCTACTATTTACATTTTAGAGACAGCAGTATGAAGTTGTGAATTCCTAATTTACGCATCGGCCGTTCATTCGCAAAAACGTTAGAGTATGAAGAAACGCATGTTATCGGGCAATGGACATGCTAGCAACTTGTCTAGACTTTATTCCACACAATTGGGGGATGAAAGAGTAAACGACCGATCGCAGCGATCTGACACCGTAAATGATCAATCTGCTTGGAGGAACAAGAAGCAGAACAGCAAAATGCATCAGGGAGCTTTATTGAACTGGTTGACAGATTCAACTTGATATATTACGAGCAACTTGCTTTAGGTGAAACGCAGAGTCACTACGCAGGATGGAGTTGTTCCACCTTGGTCATCATTCGTTGAAATCACCATTGGTTGGAGGCACCCAGAATAACATCAATGGGCAGGTAAGTGTTCATTTTCCGATGAGACAAACTGATTGAGTTTAAATCGCCGTTTAACCTCTTCATCCAACAGACCGATATTCTTTCCTGACTGCTAACAAATTACAATTGAATAACTCTTTTCCAGTAGCAAATAGCACAGGCTCTAGCGGTAACTACCGAGAACATTATACAATTGTGTCTGCTGTTGTGTGGGTGAATTTCGTACCGAATATCTTTGGTGGATTTTTTATACTGAATTTGCATTGGGACGAATTTCATACCTGTTTGCTATTCCTAATTATATTAATATTGCATACCGTGCTAGGCTATTTTTAGCCTAAATGCATTGATGTTTGAGGTAAAATACTCCTGTAAAAGCTCATAGGTGGTGTGAAGTTTATAACCGGCATTGTCTAACTAGCTTTCAACTGTCAACACAATAATCTGCTGGGACTCAGGAGTGGCGGTTGATCGGTTGGGACAATTTGATATTAGGCGGCTGCTTCAGCAACTGACATTTCTATCTCTACTTTATGTTTACTTAGAGTATACATGGAGATACAAAAGTGTACATACGTAGATGTGGTTGAGCTGGGCGTGATGCAAGCTGCAAATGGACAAACAGATTCTATGGATTGTGCGTCAGATCAATATGTCAATGGCTAAACGTGTGAATCAGTCTCCAAATTAAAGGTATCCACACAACAACGCTGAACTCCAAAGTGTAAGTGCAAAGCACTTTATGGACCACCAAAGATTAGAGCGCCAATGTGCATTTGTAAGGTGCAACTAATAACGTCTCCACACGTTTATCCCATGCAAGCAGTTTAGTTCAACAGAACCACTAAACTTATGTCAAAATGAAGCGTTGCCACCTGTAGTCAACTTACAATCTGGCCTACTTCTAATAACAGGCGTAAGTGTAATATTTACCGAAACCCACGCACTACCTTCCACGCTACACAAAGTAGACACATAGTGGTGGTAGTGGTTGCGCGGAAGCAAAGCGCCGTTACGGCGCTTGTACTCCTATGTGGATGGGTGCGGATTGGCATAGAGGGCAATACTGCATGAGTTGACAAAGGTATATAAGATGATTGTGGCACTTTTGATGTAATGTGTTGGCGATTCGTCACAGCAGCTTTCCGTCAGGTAAATCCTGCGCATGCGAACAGGCATTAAATATACATTTCGCACAGCTATGGGTATTCCCCAACTCCAAGTGGAAACGAAGGCATGACTTCTCTACGACAGCTGCTAACGTCACAAGACCATGGGTGCAGGTGATATACCGCCATAGCTTGTGAGCTAACTGCGATATAGAGCGACTCATATTCCACTGCCACGCAAGTAATGAAACTTGTAGAAGAAAGATTAGCCTGTAAATCCACAGCTTCCCAAAAAAGATCTTCGTCTGATGCGTAAATCATTAACCAAAGACATTAGAGACAAACAACATGGAATAAATAATAAACCAACATCATTATTCACGTCACCTAGAGGTAAAAAAAACCTCAGCTACTGTGCCGCAATATATAAAAAAGTAGGGGAAAATGCAACAGATGTAAGCCAGCTGAGCTCGGGTAACGGATGGGCATCGTTCCGGCAAGCTACAACCGGCTACTATTTACCAAAACTAACTATTATGCAAAATTAAATAATGATAAATAGTGGGATGGTCATTGGAGAGGGAGGATAAGAGGAATGGGGTGGGTCAAAGCAACTCACAGCACGAAAGCCATTAAGGTCGGCTCCTGGCCATTTCAAAAGTGTATCCAGCCAAACGTGTTCATCGTCTTTTGGACCGAAATCAGGGAGTCGAGACGCTCCAACTGAGGCCAGTTTCGAAGTGAAGGCCTTCAGTCATCTCGACCAACTCATCACTTGGCCACCCCTCCTCTTCTTCCATCCACACCCCCGGCGCCCAAATAACGCACGTCGCGTGAGTCGGTGGGCTGGCATGTATAACACATGGACCAGACATCGTAGCCTGATGCGTGAAATAACGGTGCTGAGCGGTTCATTTCCTTTTCCTGTGCCATAAACAAGGCGTCGAACACGCTCGTTGCTTACGCGGTGTTCCCACCAGATGTGAGCTAAACTGCGAAGGCACCGTTGGTCGAGCATAACTAGAATTTCGATGTCCGTTGATCTAAGGAGTCAGGATTCACAACCATACAGTAAGGTCGAACGTACTGCTGCATTGCACACGCCACCCTTCAGGGCAAGAGTGATGTCTCAACTTCGATATAAGTGGGGAAGGTTAGCAAAAGCACCTCGAACTTTTGCTATACGGTTCGTGATCTCAGCTTTAATTCCACGGGCGCTGATACAACCTCCCCTGTAGTTAAATTTTTGAACGACTTCTAGCTGACCCCTTAAAGAGTCAGCGAAGAAGGCGGTTCAGGCCAATCTTGGAGTAACGCTTTGCACTTCGATGGTTCAAAGCAAAGCCCGAAGCAGCTAACAGCCAATGCTAATCTGTCCAGTGCCGCTTGGCACGGCTGGGAGCTGTCACAGATTAGGGCAATATCGTCAGCATACTTCAAGTCAATAAGTCGTTCTCCTGGAAGCAGATCCACACCTTCTAAGTCGTATCCTGTGAACTCGATTTCCAAAATCGTAGACGAAAAGACACAGCGGGCATCCATGCCTTACACTGTCTGAGATATTAAAGGGCGACGACAGCTTGCCATGGGCCCTCATTCTGCCTGAGCTACGCGCGTATAATGGCCGGATAATATTTACATATTCCTCAAGTACACCTTTCCTGCGTAGACAGTCCCAAAGTGCACGCCTATTCACGGAATCGAATACACCTTCGATGTTGAAGAACACGACATCGTTGGGCTGCCCATATATGTGACATTGCTCCAACAACTAATGCAGTGAAGATGTGGTCAATGCAGCCACGACCTCGAAGAAACCCAGCTTGATCTTCACGAATATGGCTTCCACGAGTGCCAGTCAGCCCGTGAAGGATGACAGAGGCAAGCAAGTTGGAGGCGTTGGAGATCAGACTGATTTCTCTATGGTTGCCGCATCCGGTCGGGAGTCTCCATTGAAAATTTGGACCATGACGGAGCGGCTCCAGTCAGTTGGGACAGTTTCTTGCTCCCACAGTTTCACTAGTACCTCGTGTAAATCATCCACGAGAGCAGGTCTTCCAAATTTGAAGAGGACTGGAGGTAGATCATCTGGTCCCGCGGCTTTATTTATGTTCAACAGTCCGATCATTTGTTCGACTTCTGAAAGAGAGGGTGGATCCAAAGGACAGCGAGAGAGTGAGGCGATCAGTGGCCGTCGAGAAATCTAACAATTCCAACCGATTAAATTGCCTTTCACCTTCCTCGGACCAACACCCCAAGCGTTTTGATAAATTGTGGAAAAGCTGCACACTCCGTCACATATAGTTTCACTAACACCAAGTCTCTTGCTGCCCGTTTCCCGTATTAGACGCGCTAAATGCCGAGAGTTACTATGGGCAGCAGCCGTTTCCATCGCTGAAGCACCATGAGTCCACCAGGATTCGCAGCCTGTCATCAGGCTAACACGGAGTTTCGCCCGGAGTTTACTGCGTCTCACAGTATGTTCACCTCCAGCCGGAATGTGCCGGCGAGCATCGATAAGTTCCAGAGACTGCGAAGAGACTCAATGCCACGTTGGCGTTTAGACTTAACACATGAGGATTTTCCTGCTGCTGTTAAGACCTGGTGAACATTGGACCAGTGAGATTCAATTGTATCCAGTGAGCACTTACTCAACTCATGTTTGAACGTACTTTGATAGTTATTCAGAACAGCTGGCTTCGTCAGTTGACTGGTGTCTATGCCCCCACAACATCGTGGGATTCCGCCAAAACGCATCCGCATGTCAGCACATACAAGTACGTGGTCCGTGTCCACACTTGTGCTCCAAATCAAGCGGCAATTTTGCATGAAGACTCTCCAGCGGTAACTTATTGCAGTGTGCTCGAATTGCCTCCATAGCTGATTCGAGACTGGTGGGCGCCAAGTCACCCTCCAGGGAGGGTGCTATGTCGGAAAGTAGTGCTCGCAGGAAATAAGCGAGCATCTTCACATAAATGAAGTAACCGCTCACCGTTACCATTACGAAAGCGTACACCACGTTGGCCGACCAGATGCAGCGCATCAGTGGATAATTTTCTAACCTGTAAATTTGTGATCCCCAACCAGCACAACAGTGTCCGCGCTTCTTCTATGGCGAAGGAGCTCGTTCA